CGCAAAAGGTGTACAGCATCCATGCATAAGCCTGGATAATGCGGAGTCACCTAATTGGTTGCTTAACGTCATTTATCCGTTCCCTAGGTAGTTTCGGTTTGGGCTGCTATAGTTTAGAGTGACCCTGAGGGTAGCACTGGACATGTTGTCTCCAGAGATAATTAAAGATTTGGAATTCAGCTATTCAACTCTGTGAACACAACAAAACCTAGAACATCCACGTGTCCTTCATATCTTCTCTAATTTCATTAGAGAATGATACAGTGAACTAAAATCACATTCGTAGCCGAACATGTAAGATAAAGTAGAATGCTGAGGAAATAACCCTCTGATCCTAAGCTGAATTTCGTTTTTGAGCATTCTCAAAAGCTGAAAATGTTTGACGGTTCGCGTAAAAAATTAATCTGGAGTCATTCTTTTTTCATCAGATCCTTGCTTTAGAAGTAAATAACTGCTGTGTACGTCAACAGATTAGTTGGCAAAGATATCAGTGATAGGGCTCAATTGAAAGAAGCAACAACAACAAAGAATAGAAATCTTGTTCAAGTACCTCAGAACGAAGAATCAACCAACGCTGGAATCCTCTGTCATCTGTATTTCGATTTTTGAAGGCATTGTGTAAGATATCGGCCATTAATGAAGGTTTGTCTGTTGCATAATCATCTGAAATGAAATAACACAGAGAAGAATGTGGAATGCATTGAGAACAGACGAGAATGCGTAACATCACAATAAAAGTTTTCTGCAGTCTTGTGTCGGCTGGTCAAACTACCTCTCAGTGTTAACTCTGATAAATAGAATTTGAACTAGGAGTTAAGAATTTGCATTCACTTAGTTATTAGAAAATAATCCGTATGAAAGCTTCATGGTATGATTTTAGCTGGTAAACATAACATTTATTATGCTGAGAAAATAAGTCAGTACAACTTCTTACTACAGCATATTTGTCTGACTGATTTCATGATGGGACTTTTGCAATTCGGAGTTCAAGAATATTATATTATTATTCAACTGGACGCACTCTTTTACCTTACTAAGCCAGAAATAATGCTGGTGAAGAGGAAAGGTTGGGCATGAGGCTAGTAACCCTATCCTGTAAAAATAAACACTGCTACAGAAACTTCAGGCCTCTAGCTTGAAGCCCTATGTTCCACTGGGGAACGTGAAGGAAAAAAAATTCAACCGGAACATAGAGCTTTAGCATCACATAACCAAATCAATCTGCATTATGTATTAGCTGGCTCCACCACTGACCTCAGGATCAGGACCAACTTTTCGTTTCTCATTCGGGTCCCACTCCAGGTTATGGTTAGAGCACAATGTCACTCGATGACCTCCACAGTAAATGTCTGATCCACCTCAATTTTTGTTGCACAGCAGGTCCTTGGGTGGATTGTTACCAAAGTTCCTTGTTGCTTATTATTTCTGACCATTGATCTTCAGTATGGAACCAGCGAAGGCAGGTGTTGATAAAGGTATGTAATAGCATGTCGAAATATCTCTTGATGATTTACAAGTCAAGTCTTTGAACTATATGGAAGCACTGAACGAATTGACATTAGTGTTGAAGATACGGTTTTTGTTCTTTAAGCTGAGTCCAGTAGATTTCCATACCGACATCAGAGTGTGTTGCTTTTTCTATCATGGCTTTTAAATCTTTATCCCTATCGCCCATAGTTCAAACGATACTGTCTGGATAAATAAAATATTCATTTTCCTTTAGACAACAGTTACAATGCCTTTCGAGAATGAGTAACTTGTTGGGTCATAGTAAGACAATTTACTCCCTAAATAAAAGGTAGCTGAAGAATCCCGATCTGGGACGATGCAGCTCATTTTACACTTTAGAGCTTCAGGTATTCTTTAGTTAATGCTAACTTATTATTAATAATTTTTAGTCCAAATGTTGTATAGGTTCACACCCAGATGAGAATTTTTCAGTACTGGTGAGGTGTAGAAATTTTGAAACTAATAACCTGTAATTCTTAATCCTACCCCGGCGTGAGAAAATTAAAGCGGCATAACGAAGTTTAAACGAGTCAGTGGTTTTGAAATTGTACATTTCGACGTGAAAGTTCACAGTCCTTTTCGTTGCAAACGCAAAATATTTCAAATCATCATGTGTGATCAGCCTGATACTGAACGTAGATAGAAAGATACTACTGATAGGTTGATATGAGTAGTTAGAATCTACTTGCATCAATCAGTAATTCGCAGTGAGTGAAACAGTTTTCGTGTGCCTAAGTCTCTGGCTAGTTTGAACTGCCTAATGACGTGTGCGCTTCTCAGCTATTCATATTAGTTATGCAATTAAATTTCGTATGATTTTAATCGACCTAACATTCTTATAAATGCAGTGAAAATAGTGACATCCCCAGATATATTCCAGTAGTCAACCAACCACGTTAATCTGTTATTTGAGGCATATAATATCAGCATGTGTGGTAAAGTACACTTCACTATGTTCGCTGTAAACCATAAGTCACAAAACCCACGAAGGTTTAACTACTAATACCATATACACTTTCTGTCCCTCCCTCCCAAGGCGAACTTCTTCATTTAAATCTGCACTGCAGTGGAGATTTATCGTGAGAAGTACTAAGGAAGAGCTTGTCTCGGTTACTGAAGAGAACCTCCTTCTCAGCTGAACTCCAATTTACATTTCCCAAAATCCCAATCATTCGTATGAACGTGAGGAATAAGATGCCACTGCAGGTTTGATCAGTGAGTATCTACTAATTCATCTGCTCCTGTGGAGATACGTATATCGGCAGTACTCAGCGCTTGCCATCCAGAAGTATCACTGAACACGTACTCTAAAAGTTTTGTAGAGGAGGAAAAGATTCCCGCCATACTTCTGTTCTGGAACACTTGATCGACTCTGGACACCCAAAAACCAATTTCAGATTCGTCTACAGAGTACATGAAAATCTTGAAAGGAACAATATAAAACAAACTTCTTCAAACAACAGAAACGATGTCAATCCACATGTTAATTCCTAAACTCAGAATGCTGAAGTTCATCCAATCACTGAACCTACAATGGACCTAATTTGTCTTAATACTGGTTACGTACTTTGTGGTATTCCGAAATTTTTAGTGTTTTTTTTGGTTATATTACCTTTTTTATCCATCAGCCACTCCTTATGACACTGATCTTAACTTGACTTTCACTCAATTTAAGTTGAGTTCTCTTCAATTCCGTCAATCACATTATGTCATACAATCTACTTATTTAATTTTATTTTAGTTTCTGCCTGATTATAACTCCCTCTATTACGCAACTGTTATCTAAAGGTTACAATTTTAAAAACGAAACATTGGAGACATTCCTTTTGTTACTAAGATAATTTACTGTGCAAGCGTGATTAAACATCTTGAGAATAATGTCGGTGAAACAAATAGATCTCGACAGAATGCTTTTCCAAGTATTGGTTTGTAGGGATTTTGTTTGATTGGTTACAGGATTTCATCATGGGCTGAAATCAGTTAGAGAACCATTGGAAAACAGGCAGGGAGTACTGAACAGTTGTTCATTAGTCCTAGTTTGAGACTGTTCATCAGTAAGCACCCACCGCCACTGTTTGAACCCAGGAACTTCTGTTTACAAGGCTAGCGAGCTCGTAGACCATTCATTAGCCACTGGTACCCGATCCAATGGCCAGTCCATGAATTGTAACTTCTGCCAATTCACGAAACAGCGTGACTGCTAGCCAGTGTCTTCGGCTAGTATTTGTACTCACACCCGACCTGCTGCACCCTATTGGTCACGACTTCCCACTAAAACTCTAGGGCCAGTCACCAGTGAGCATCTCATCGATATTCAAGTATTGGTTTGTAGGGATTTTGATTGATTGGTTACGGGATTTCTGTTCGATATGATTCCATGGGAATTTTCAAGTCACTAGTTAAACGAAGGAAAAAAGCAATCAACTTACACAGTGCTAGAAGTAAGTCACGAATTCGACCAGAAGTTCCTGTTACAATGTCTCTCCTGAGATTTCGGTTGTACTTCTGTTTCAATAAAGAGTAATAAACAAAGGAATCAATAAATAAGCGTGATTTCTTAGTGAATATAAAAAAAGACTGAAAACAGTAGGTCGAATAAGGAACCTCTTGTTATAGTCCTGAGAGTAAGTAACTTCTGATCTGCGCTCCATATAGAAGGCTAAGCAGTTTGGATCGGCAACCATTACCTGTTATATGAGACACTAGAAGACCTAAAATTGAAATCACTGGTCACATTTACCGCGATAGGCTTTTATTCCTCGCTTGCTTTGTTTGTAATCCGTTTAAATTTTAGCATTACACGACCTTTGGTCATCATATTTTCGCCTCTTATCCTCATTTTCAAGCCTTGGAGAGGTGTACCTACCTTGCTCACAAAGAAGAAATGCAGAGTTGTATCTAGATGCAGCCTGTTTATACCTGCGTTCTGTTTACTTTGTGTTACTTCAAACTCATTATTTTATACTCTGTACGCCTTAGTTCACTAAAAGTATTCAGGAAATATATTTCATCAGTTAGAATCAGTTTCTGGTTGAGACTTCCTTTTGCGTTATTATGTGCAACTCTTCAGTTAGCAAGAATTTTGTTCTGTGTGAATAAGTTAATTGTTCATAAGGTTGATAAGAGGACAGTTGACCGTAGACTGCTGAGAACTATCCTTCTGCTGACTGTAGGATATTGTCATCTAGAGGTGGATTTGCTGTCCGCAAGAAGTGTTATTATTGATTCTAATTATATGCTGTCGCGATAAGAGATCAAAGCGGGTTCACTACATAGGATCAAATTATATTTTCGTCAAACCGTGAAGTCTTAATGAATAAAATAAAAACTGAAAATTCTTGGAATAACCGCTCATTAATAAACCATAGGTATATGTAAGATGACACGCAAAATCGTGAAGCGGTGCATATTCTTTGTGTCGGGGATATAGCGGTTAGGACGCTCGCCGACCATGCACATGGTCCGGGGTTCAATCCCCGGCTGACGCACACCTTTACCTCGCTAGGCCAGAAATAATGCTGGTGAAGAGGAAAGGTTGGGCATGAGGCTAGCGAACCCATCCTGTAAAATAAACACTGCTACAGAAACTTCAGGCCTCTAGCTTGAAGCCCTATGTTCCACTGGGAACGTGAAGGAAAAAAACATGTAGGTCTTGTTTGCCATGCTTTGCAGGAATTTGATACAAATCAAACGAATTCATACTGTCTTTTAAGAATTTGAACCTATAGACTTCCGTTGATATTTTTATGGCTAGTAGTTCTAAATTATTTCGTATGTTTATTCACTAATTACTTCCTCATTGCTCAAATTACATTTCAAGTGCAATCGTGGATTGATGTCAGTTAGAGTGTCACTGGAAAACCTGGGAGTACTGGTTAGCTGTTTATCCCTAGTTTTAAATTCTTCAACAGTTTGCCCTCACTGGAGTCGGAACCCAGGATCTTCAGGTTACAAGACCATTCAGCCACTAGGACCAGAATCAATGGCCCATGAATTCCAACTTTTACCAATTTTTGACTTTAGCGTGACTACCAACCAATGTCACCGCGCTAAAGTCACCTGAGACCTAATATCAGTAAAAAGTTTGAGCATTTTGGAGTTGATCAAATAAAGTTATTGGTTATTGTGCTCGAAATATTGCCAATAACAAAACTTATCATTGTGTGTAAACTATTGAAATATAATTATACTTTATTTCACCTGAGACCCTTTGTTTGATCCCCAGAGTAGTCATTAGTGTGTACTGTTAAACAACCCCCAACTAGGAGGAAAGATCTGTTCATTACTCCACGGTTTTCAGTGCCTCCCTAAGTGACATCAATCTACGATCATACTTGAGATAAATCTCAAATCGCTACAGAGTGACTCTTCAAATAACAGTATTGACAAATATTAGTTGTGAATAAATGGTTTTTCTAAACAACATTGTTGTTAGACGATTCTTCCTTTCTGTGAATTATAATTCAAAAGTTACAATTCTCAAGGTGAATATTGGGAAAATATTTTTACCGAAAAGTAAGCTAATTTTACATAAAGTCCAATTGTAAATATGTATTGGAAGGAGACAGCAGATGTACTATGCAATACACACTCTGAAAGTCTCCATTCACTTACAAGTATCTGTAAATTTTAGTCACACAAGTATCTTCAAGAGATCTCTTATATGTATTGTATTTCTGGAACTTTATGGACAGTTAATAATGTCATAGAGCGTTTAAAAAGTGATTTTTTATGACAAGTTCATAAACATTGTGTCTTTTGATCACAAATACCAATCACTGTCAACAGGGAAAAGTGTGAAAAAAGTCAATACTTCCGCCTATCTAGGCAACATCCTTCCAACTATAGGAGACACTGATGAGGATATCAAAGCCAATGAATAAAGAGAAGCAAGGCAGACCTCCATTACCCTGAAATCGGCATCGACATCCACGTAATGCAGCATAAAGAAGAAAATCTGAATTTTCAAGACTAATATCAAATCACTACTTCTATATGGTGCTTGCGTCGCTGAAGGCATTTTCAAAAGGCCACTGAAAACTTCCATCAGAATCTGCCTTTTCTCCATACTGAAAATCAGATAGCTGACAGGAAGGGATAGGCAACAAGGAACTTTAATGTAAGCGCAAAACTTGGGCAGTATGGTAGAATGTGGTTCCATATTATTAAATAAGTTTATTTTAAATATTCCACAGCGATGCAGTATTAACAACTGGATGATGTTTTGAGCATGAATTATCATTCATAATCAAATCAATTTTAGTCAGACGGTTTCACAATTTGTTTTATATATATTTGCTCTCTATTCTGTCTCTCCAACTTCCCTTTGCTATTTGTCGTCCGTGGCATAGCGGTTAGGACGCTTACCAACCATGCACATGGTCCGGGGTTCGATCCCCGGCCGCAGACGCGCTCCTTTACCTCGCTAAGCCAAAAATAATCCTGGTGAAGTGGAAAGGTTGGGAATGAGGCTAGCAAACCCATCCTGTAAAAGAAACACTGCTACAGAAACTTCAAGCCACTAGCTTGAAGCCCTATTTTCCACTGAGGAACGTGAAGGAAAAAAAACCAAAAGAAACCTCCCACATCTCCGGTGTAGTAGTTGCGTCATTCCGATTGCATGCGTGTGCGGTGTTGAATCGATAAACAAAGCTTCAGTGATTAATCTCTCTCTCTCCATCTAATTAAATGGCTTTTTAATACTCTCAAGCTGTCTCACCCCACCTATTGTTTGATTACATGCAAATGAATACAGTGCGATGGTCGAGCTTTTTTCTAGGTTATTTAGCTTAGCAGAACCAATTATTCTGGGTCTAGCTAAATTTTTATGTCCAATAGTTTAAGTGACCCCGATCTACTAGTTTGACTTAGCTGTGTAATTGACCTCACAGTCATTACATGGCGTTTGGTAAATTACGTTATTTCTCTCAGTTAGATCTGTTGGGTCCTTAAGCCAACAAAGTTTATCTCTGAGAGAGTTGTTTGGTTTAAGTACCATCCTAATTCCAGCGTCATTGAGAATCCTACGCAACACCTCTGATGTTCCCTCTTTATATGGCAGTACTACAGAGGCTTTGAATTCTGAATTATTTCCGTCATTTTTACTATTAATCTTAGTTTCTCAATGGCTCTTCAAATATTTCTGAATAGATTCTGGTGGGTAGTTATTCACTAGTAATGCTTCCTTTATTTGTTTGATTTCACTACTTAAATCTTCTAGCTTACTAGTAACTAAACCCATCTTCACCGATTCCGGATGGGATGAATTAAAGTCGAAGTATTTATTAGAGTGTTTCAGTTTCTTATGAATGCTAGCGTCTAATCTATCATCTTGTTTTCGTTTTATTCTACAGTCTAGCATGGTCAGCTCATCCTGTTCGTTTTCTAACTCAGAAGTGAATTGGATTCCGTCTACCAGTGAGTATATATGTGTGGAAAAAAATGAAAGATATGTTCAGATTTCGACACAGGAACACAAGGATCTTTGGCGGGCAACGAACCAATCAAGAGCCTACTGCCCAACAAGTATGTTGAAAGCAATAAAGATTGATTGGTTACACGCTAGAGAGGTCGTGGAATGTTGTCACGTGCCGGACTGACAAATTGGTAGTGGCTCCAAGATTGACATGGAGGAAATCGTTTGAGTAAAAGCTGAAGGCCTATCGTCACTAGTGCAGCCAGCTGAATAGGACTGCAGAGAACTGAGTGAAATAGCGTTGTGATGTTGTGGCCTTATTTTGCACTCGGAATCCAAGGGAATAATAATTATTATATAATTGGATTGCATTTTGTATTCGCTTTAGATATATTACTTAGCAAAATTCACTCAAGGTTTTCAAAAAGTAACCTTGTTCAAATAAGTATTTTAAACAACCTACCCGACTATATATTTGGATTATTAATCTTAACTGGAAAGGATCAATTGCACTCATTGTGAAACCAAGTAGATCTCCATAATCCTCCCTAGTGAAAAGAAGGTGAACAGTAATTACAATAAAAAACATAGAACAATGCAATGGTTGAGTTTACATTCAAAAAGGAGATTACAAGCATGGGTCACTGTATTCCTGAATCAGTAAGGAAACAATTAAAACTGACTGTATTACTGTTTGCATTACTAAATGAGTTTTTGATACAAAGATTGATGCACCACTGTTTTTGATGTTACTTTAACTATCATCCGTTACAAATGGAAAATTCCCCCCCCCCCCCAATGGATACTATGGAGACCGTTTGTGTGGTCAATCTAATTTTACATAGATACAGTTATTATTCATTTCTGCATAATAATGAAGGAGGAGATTAAAGGTAATAATAATTTTCAACTTAATATGAAAGCTTTTTTCTAAGCCCCTTGTAACTTATATTCACACCTTCAAACTTTCACATATAAAGTGTAAAATTATTATCAGATCGAATCTCCTCCTTCGTTATTGTGTGGAACTCACTAATGATTCTATCTTTGTACACTTGTGTTTCATTAAATACAATTGTACAGCTTTTGAGAATAAAGTCGCCGAAAGAATATTTTTGCTGAACTTCTTGTTTTTTGTTTTCCCTCTAATGATGAAATTAAGTCGAATTGTCTATATCTATCATCCCGTTAGCAGCAAATGTAACATAATGTTATCAATATTTTTATTATTTATCTCTCAAAATGTTTAATCAATACGAAAATGGACTTTTAAATTTGATTTCAAGGTAAATCACTAGCCGACATGAGTTAGAAAACTACTGGAAATTAAGCAGTACTGGATAGCAGTTTCGTACTAGTTTAGAACTCTTCAACAACACAGGCTAAACGGATGATATCACAGCCAGGATCGGAGGGGAGATGTACGCCTACATCACTCTGAAATCAGTTTGCAAATCTTTTACACTTAGCATAGGGAACAAGATTCGGGTTTTCGCGACAAATGGTAAGCCCGTCAGTCAGTTCTTTTATATGGTTCAGAAACTCAGCATACGCTCCACACAAAAAACATCTCAGACTTTTATCAACAGCTGACAAAGCTCGGCATTGAAGGTCTAAGGGTCAGCATGAATTAATAAGAAGAAACTCTGGGAATGGACTAACCGTTAACCTATTGCCCATCAAATATTGCGAAGAAAATCGAGATGGATAGGACGCAACCTAAGGAGACTATCAAATGACATCTCGCACCAGGTCATTATTCGAGTGGACCTCCAATAGGAAACGATAGGCGGGTCTGAGAATGACATGGAGGAGATTGTGTGCGGAGGAGATAACAGCTTACGCACAGTCGTGGTACCAGCTAAAAAGGATCACACAGAACAGGTTGAAGTGAAGACAGAATTTTTCACTCGTAACCCAAGAGAATAATAATAATGGGTTCTGAGTGTTCGAATACATACATGAGTCTTTTACAGATACCAGTTTGACCACCAATTGATATCATTTAGAGAACTTTTGAAAATCACGGAGTAAAGGACAGCTGTTTGATCCTAGTTCCAATGGTTCTCCAACTTATATCAATCCGTGGTCAAACTCGTAAAAACGAATTTAATCCTTACAAACAAACTTTTGAAAATTCTACAGATACCTTGATTTTATCGAATGTATCATTAAATTTGTGTACATTAGGTACATGAGATTTATTTAGAATCTTGGTAATATATTTTGAGGTTTAGAACGAAAATAGCCACTTATTTTATTTATTCTCTCATAAATATTCATGCAATTTTGATGAAATTTTATCCGTAAATATTTTGCTTTGTGAAATCGTCTAAATTGTTCAGGGATTTTTATTTTTAACGATTTTATTATTATCATTATCAAAAACAACGATGTAGACTGATAATATGATATCTAAAACAATGTTGTTGAAGTGGTTTCTAGTTTGGCTAGAGTAAAAACACTTTTCACTAGGTACGATGAATCTTGCATTCACGTTTCCCTAGAAAACATAGTTGGATTTTGACCTAAAACTGGTTTCACTCTCCACCTTGTATACGTTTCTGTCAATTATATTTGATTTTTTAAGTAATTCCTTTAGTTTCAGTTACAGAATGATTGAAAACCAGACAGTACTGGTTGCCTGTTTCGTCGTCGTTTGAGATTCTTCAGTGGTATGCATACATGACCCTACAAGTGATCTAATCCAGCTCCTTCTGGTTACAAGGCGAGCTCGTCGACCATTCAGCCATTTGGGTGGTAGTCCAATGCCGCACTAACACTAGCTCCTGATAATTCACGATATAGCTAAACAGCCAACTAGTGTCACTGCTGAGCATTGGTCCTCCTACCCGATTCGATGGACCCCACTAGTCGCGACTTCCCATTAGAATTTCAAGCGATTACATCCTCTGTGTGTCACTAGTGAACGCTGGACTAATTTTCTAGTTTTGGTTTTAAGATCATGTATGCGTACTGATGAAGAGTCCTAAATCGAGGTGAAACATCTGCCTAAAGGTACCTCTTTGCTTGTCCGTAATACTGACTAGTTCTCGTTTTCTGAAAAACCATTTATTTGACTCTTAAAAAAATACCAGGCTCTTATCAGGATAATGTAATCGGTTTTCTAGGAAACCACCTAACACATAAGCTTAATTTTGTAGTTGGTGGGTATAAAACTAAAGAAATAATCAATAATGTAGCGTAGGTGAGGTATTTCCTCATAAATCTTCACATCCACTAAACGGAACATCTAGATGTGCAAACCCGACAGGTTTACCCATTTTATCCCCTTTTTTTCTCAATTCCTTCAATGTTTCAACTGACTGCGCTTCTGCTTCTCTAATTGCATCTTGTGGATTACTCAATTTTCGGAACTTTGTTTAACCAATCAGAAAAGATTTCTTCTTATTTATGTATTCACAAATATCTACTCATCGGGACATCAGAGGGAAAAGAACAAGCAGCTCAGTAAAGATATCTTTTTTTGAAAGCGTTTTCATCCTCAAAAGCTGCATCGTGAGGATTTCGTATTATTCTTAGCTTCATCCAAGATTTGTCGACATTGTCAAATCAGTAGCTTTTCGACAATGATAATAACTATCTTGATAATGTTAACTCCTATAAACTAGAATAGTTTTAAACTCTATAAGTTCATCCTTCGTTTGTAGAAATAATTTTTCAAACTGAACATTGATGTTGCGTTGCCTAATCCTAATTTTTGTAAGCCACAAAATTCTGAACTAAATGGTGGTGTTTCTGACTAGAATTTATTAGGTGAACAGCTGGAATAATTATCCACAAATCTCATTCATTCTGAGCGAAAATTATTCTAATATTTATGGATTTGTAATAGATTTGAAAACGTTCAAACCAACCCGCCTTCTTCAATATAACTGTTAGACCTATTTGAGTCAAATATTTCAACTTCTGGTAATTTTATCATTAATGTTCTCATCGCACTTTCCAGTACAACTAATATTTGAAATTTGCCATCGTTAAAATATAAGTTATATCTGGGTCAATATACATCATGAAGATATATAAACAACAACAATCACCAGTCACTGTCAACGGACAGCATCGTTTCAACTACAAATGGCACAGATGAGGATGTCAAACTTATTCAGGACCACAAAAAGCAAGACAAACCTTCAGCAATCTTAAATCTGTGTGGAAATCTACTGGACTCATCACACGGAACAAAATTCGGCTCTTTGATACCACTGTCAAGTCAGTCAGCGCTTCTACATTATTCAGAGACTTGGTGAGTTTCAGGAAAACATTTTCAAAAGCCTTCAAGCTTTCATCAATACCCGTTTTCGTTGGCTTCATATTGAAGATCAGAGGAGCGGCTATAAATGAATAACAACGAGGAACTCTGGCATGCAGTAAACTAACGGACAACCTCCTCCCTAAAAAACATACTGAAAGAAATGGAGACTGACTGGACACACTCAAAGGAGATTGTTGTGCGACATAATACGCCAAGCATACCCTCAAGTGGAACCTGAATGAAAAACGACTGATTGATGATGAGTTCATGAGTGATATAGAGTGGAGGAGGTCGTGTAAGAAAAAGATGAAAGTTTATGGTCGATAGTGGAGTTAGGTAAAAGAGAATTTAGAAAATAGAGTGGAATGGAGATATTTTCAACTACTGATTTTGTAGAGATTTGACTGATTGTTTACCGGATTTCATCATAAGCTGACATTAGTTAGAGAACCATTAGAAAATCAATGCTGGAGTACTGGACAGCTGTTTTGTCAGCCTAGTTTGATACTGTTCATCAGTGGGCACCCACAGGCAGGGTTCGAACCCAGGACCTTCTGGTTACAAGGAGAGCTCGTAGACCATTAAGCCACTGGGGCCCGATTAAATGGCCCATGAATTCTGATTTCAGCTCATGATGAGATCGAGTTGAGATGTCCCGACCGAAAGCTGCTACCTTGACGTGGTGGCCGGGCTTGAAAACTGCAATGACCCAACAAGCTATACTGGCTGGAACTTATGTTCCTGCAGGTCCTACCATGCCAGAAGGGTTGTTTGGATAGCAGTTAGACTAAAAGCAGTCACCCAATCCAATCCTATGATTTCAAATAAATCACAAAATATCATGCCGGATCGGTCGGGGCCCGGATTAACAACGACCGCACTTTCTGCTGCCGTGTCACAGGGCAGAAGTGATAAATACGCTACTGAGACACACCAAATAAAAAAGAACAAACAAAAACAGGCTGTGTGTGACCGGCCTCAAGCAGTTGTCCCCTGGGCTCTGCGGTCACGCAAGCAACTTCCACTGTGTGGGCAGCCGGGAAGTAACAATCGCCCTCACAATTCGAAGTGCACCCGAAACCTCTCTAATCCTCACTCACCTTTGTCTTCATCTTCATCTCTATTATCTTGCCTTCCTTCTACTAATGCAACTCCTCTACTTAATGGCCCTTCACTTCCTCTTCACTCTGTGTGCACTGAAAACGACGGAAGCCAAAAAGCCACCACCGATGGTCTCCTAAAGCCACGCCACCAATTTTATATAGGAGCATTTAATGTTAGGACACTTTGCCAAATAGGACAACAGGCATCACTAGCCAAGACTCTGGCATCCCGAGCCATTGATGTATGTTGTGTTTCAGAAACACGCATACAAGACCCAAGTGTGGTTATTCACCTAACCCCACCTGGCCAACAGGATGAATCTGCAAAATTCACCTTGAGGGTGTCAGGAGATGCGACGGCTAGCTCACGAGGATTAGCTGGTGTTGGGATAGCTTTGAGTACTAGGGCAGAAAAGACATTACTTGACTGGATCCCGATAGATAGCCGAATGTGTGCTGTCCATCTGAACGGATCAGTGAAAAGGAGAAAGGACTGCACTACTCGCCGATGCCTTTTCGTAATCTCCGCCTACGCCCCCACTGACTGCAGTTCGGATAAAACGAAGGATGAGTTCTACCAAAAGCTGTCTAGTTTGCTGCGAAAGGCTAAACGCTCAGATATAGTCGTTTTAGCTGGTGACTTTAATGCTCAAGTGGGGAAATTGTGTCAATCTGAGAAGAATGTCGGTGGCACATACGGAATTCCGTGCCAGCGAACCGACAACGGTGACCGTCTCCTACAGTTCTGTTCAGATAATCATTTGTATCTTGTAAGCACTAACTTCAAACACAAGGAGAGACACTGTTTGACCTGGCGACCCCCATCATCAAATCAACGCTGGACACAAATAGACCACATAGCAATAAGCTATCGTTGGCGTGGGTCGGTAGGAGATTTTCGCTCCTTCTGGAACACGTGTGTAGATACCGATCACGCACTGGTCCGCGCTCGTGTGTGCTTACGACTGAACGGACGTAGGAAACAGCTGGCAGTAATCCCATCACGTCCCCAGCTCGATCAGGAAACTAAGTCCCTATTTGAGGAAGAACTAGCTAAACACATATCTGAGCTCGACAGCTGCACTCACCCTGAAGAAGCCTGGAAGAATATTCAGTCAGCCGTAGATACAGCTGTAAAAGCTGTGAATAAGGTAAATCCAAAGGTGAGTAAAAACCATTGGATTTCGACTGCCTCATCCGAACTGATAGATGCTAGAAGACTTATTCCGGCGAGCTCCGAATTCAATGAGGAGCGAAAACTGCACAAAAGGAAACTTACGAAAAGTCTCCGCAAGGACCGTGAACAGTGGTGGTTGACAAAGGCGAAAGAGATGGAAAAAGCATCGGCGATTGGCAACATCAGACAACTCTTCAAACTCACCAGGGAAACAGGTGGTAAAAGGCAAATGATAAGCGAAACAATCTCCGAGAAAAATGGCACCATAATTAGCTCCCAGGATAGACGACTGGAGCGCTGGAAAGAACACTATGAGGAGCAGTTTAATTGGCCCACAGCCACACTTAACCTGCCGAACATCCAACACCTCCCTGAATGGGATATAGACACAGGTCCTCCGTCCTTAACTGAGGTTACTAAAGCTGTCACCAATCTGAAGCAAGGCAAAGCAGCGGGACCTGATTTATTGACTCCAGAGGTATTTAAGTACGGAAGAGACAGTTTACTGTCTGCGTTAACGGAGGTTCTAGGCAGCGTCTGGGAAGCAGAGGAAGTCCCATCGGGTTGGTGTAAGTCACTGATCATCCCGATATACAAGAAGGGAGACAAGTCTTCTTGTGATAATCACAGAGGGATTAGCTTGACTAATATAGTATCTAAAATCCTAGGCTCAATAATACTGCGTAGACTAAGTGGTGCTCGGGAGACACAAACATGAGAAAACCAGGCAGGTTTTAGGCCAGGTAGAGGGTGTATTGATCACATCTTCACCCTTCGACAGATTCTAGAACATAGGCATTCCTACCGGCGTCCAACAATCATTATATTTCTTGACCTGAAGGCGGCATTCGATTCTGTCGACCGAGAGGTACTCTGGCGATGCTTGGCTGTAAAGGGAATGCCAAGAAAATACATTGCACTGATTAAGGCACTCTACTCGTACTCATGCAGCCAGGTGAGGGCTTATGGCGAGTTGTCATCTGAAAAGGTGACGACTAGTGGCGTCCGTCAAGGATGCCCATTATCCCCATTCCTGTTCAACTTCATCATAGACATATTAATGGACTTAAGCCTAACACACTTCAGCGACTCAGGGATTGACTTGCTACCAGGGAAGAATCTCGTTGACTTAGAATATGCGGACGATATAGTCCTTCTAGGCGAGGACGCTGACAAAATGCAGAGTCTACTGAACACCCTGAGCAACAATCTTCGTATGTTTGGCATGCGATTCGCCCCTGTAAAATGTAAGATGATGTTGCAGGATTGGACTACACCGACTCCCAGATTAGAAATAGGAAGTGAAGTGGTAGAGCACGTTGACCGCTTCACTTACTTGGGAAGTACCATCAGCCAGTGCCAACGGGTTGATCCCCGACGAAATCTCAGCACGAATACAGAGGGATAATTTCACATTTGCCAGTTAACGCCGTCTCTGGCGTAGACGCGATATCCGACTATCGACCAAAGGGCGTGTGTACTGCTCAACAGTCCGTTCCGTCCTCCTTTATGGCTGTGAGACATGGCCATTGAGAGCAGAAGACATGAACAGATTATCTGTGTACGATCATAGGTGTCTGCGTTCCATCTCCTGTGTGAAGTGGTATGATAAGGTGAGAAATATTGAGGTTAGGCGTCTAGTGCTAGGTAAGGCGGGGAAATCAATCGACGAAACGGTGAAATTACTTCGACTGAGATGGTTAGGACATGTGCTACGTATGCCTAGTCATCGCCTTCCTCGACAATAGGCAATGTTAGCTGATATAGGGTCAGGCTGGAAAAGAGCTAGCGGCGGTCAAACTAAAACATGGCACCAGTCAATGGAATCCACAACAGTTAGTCTAAGCCACGTAGGAAGATGTAGACTTCCTGGTTGGGGTCCTCGGGACGGTAAAAACCAATGGTTGGAAACAATTGGTGACATGGCTCAAAATTGTTCTCAGTGGCGCAGATGCATCCACTCCTTGTGACTTATGATTTCCAATTAAACTGTTTTGTTCTCCGTTATTACTATTCCTTTGTCTCACACCTCTGTTTACTGTCTCTAATATGCATTTCTTCTACTTTCTTCTCTTGCTTTGCGTGCTACATGGATTGTGGCGACCTGAACTGGGGCACATATGTGCAAAGTTCTATGTCGAAAAACCGACCGACCGAACCGAGTTGAGATGTTCCGTTTCAGTCCTATGTTCCAGTTGGAATCCTAGGGAATAATAATAATAATGCGTGTATCGCAGTGTTTTACAGAAAATACTTTTGCCCAGTTCTATGTCTTTCAGTTTTTACCTTGGGAATTTTTAGCAATATTAAATGCTCTACCTTAATTAGATTTATATGCAAATATGCAAGTGATTTAAGAAACACTTAAAAAACATAAAAAATTCTTACTTACCCATAAGTCTTGCTGTCTTCGAATTCCTCTGCCTTTTTCACGGCTGACTCTTTATCCAATTTTGGTTTTCTGCCTTGTCCTTTTATTTCAGAAGTCCATTCAGGTTCCACTAGTCTCGTATCAACGATACCATAGAGAATTTGTTTGATAAAAATGCCATAGTTATCTCTTAAATCATCCCAGAATGTTCGATTGGCGTCTACATTCATACAAGGAAGGCGGTTTTATAAAGTAGAAATATTCTGTGAGAAGTTAATACTGTTGGGTATCATCAATAATAATAATAATAATAATAATACAATAAGTATGAAAGAAGTATGATGAAATAAGTGCGTTGGTGGCATGGTGGTTAGGACGCTCGTCGGCCATGCACATGGTCCAGGGTTCTATCCCCGGCTGATGCACTCCTTTACCTCGTTAGGCCAAAAATAATGCTGGTGAAGAGGAAAGGTTGGGCATGAGGCTAGCAAACCCATCCTGTAAAATAAACACTGCTACAGAAACTTCAAGCCACTAGCTTGAAGCCCTCTATGTTCCACTGGGGAACGTGAAGGGAAAAAAATGATGAAATAAAGTAAAATCCAAGGTTGCAGAAACGCCTCGTTCACTGGTGAGTGCTAACCAGTACGAAACCTAGGTTAGCGAGGGTTTCCTGCCGACTGCCTCCAACCACCTAACATCAACAATTCACAGTGCACTGTGATGGCGAACCATCTAGTGGTATGGTGGCCACATTGCACACTTGACTCATGGAATTCAGTCTACAGTAAGCGAAGGACTAGACACACAACCCTAGTCAATGACTAATGTCCAATCAGAAATACTGTAAACTTTGAAATTAACTAACCTCTACACCGGTTCGAAAATTCTAAAGTATATCCACTGCCGTCAATATTTTGTTCTCATTATATATATTATCAGTTGTTTAAATATGCCAAATCTTCTCCAATAAGCGCTTAACTAAGCCCCTCCTACAGTATAATGCATAGAAACTGAAAAGACTTTCCTGTCTCTTAGCTTACCTTGGTAATCCTTATCTTCCTTGTGTTTCATATTCTTTAATCGCTTACCACTTTGTTTATTTTAATAGACCCTTCATTTTTCAGGTAAACTCCATCTTCTAATATCTCTATATATAGTTTGTTTTCTCAGAGTATGGCCAGCCAATCCACCTCCATTTCTTCCTGCCTATTCGTTGCATAATTTGTTCCTGCTGGGTTAGTTCGCTCCCGGAGTGCCCTGTCTGTTGCTGATCTTTTCCGGCCATTTGATCTTGAGTATTGGGCGAAGACAGTTGTTGATAAAGGTGTGTAGTTTGTTCGAAGTGCCCTTCGTGACGCGCCGCCAAGTCTCTGATCCGTAAAGTGATTAGCACTGACTTCACATTGGAATGGACAACCTGGAACTTATTTTTCATGCTGAGTACTGTTGATCTCCACACAGACTTGAGAGTAATGAAAGCTTTCCTTGCTTTCCCAATCCTCACTTTGATATCCTTGTCAGTTCCGCCTGTAGTTGAAACTTTGCTTCCCAGGTAGATGTGTGGGTAAGTAAGGGATGTTGCTTCTTTCAGATTTCTCTCATTTTCCGTTGTTGTTGTTGCTATTGCTGCTGCCATTCCAGGCTCTGTTCAATGATGACCCGTAATGTTGCAATTTGATTGATACATGACGTTTTCCTCCCGAATCTAGCCTGTGCCGACCGAAGCTTTTCATCCAGTACTTGTTTGATTCGCTCCGGGATGATGCGGCTTAATATTAATCTTGGGATCGAAAAGAGCATAATTCCGCGCCAGTTCTTGCATTGACTTAAGTCTCCTTTCTTTGGTAGTTTGAATAGGTAGCCTTCCAATCAGCACCTACCTTGCCCTCTTTCCACTATTTCTCCAGTAGTGGTGTCATCAAGTCCGCTGATGTCTCTGGGTCCATTTTAAGTGCTTCTGCCGGGATTCCATCTGGTCCAGCTGCTTTTCCAGGTATTAGCATCTTTGTTGCCTTCAGGATTTCTGTACTCGTCGGAGGGTTGATGTCCACTGGTAGTTCTCCTTCCGCTACTGCTATTATACCATACGTAAAACTAACTGTCTAATAAATAACCTACATAGAATTTCCTAGTCATGCTTATCTGCAAAACACTGTCCTGATTGAGAAGAGAAAAAACTGACAGAAATACGCATTTTTAAGAAAAATAATGTCAAAATTAAAACAAAATTATAAACACAAACATACATACATGGTGTATAGGCATTGACAAATGCTTTGTATTCTTCATTCCAGAAATCATTTAAGATAGTTGTGACTAATCGCACATCAGATGACTTCAATGCTTTCAAATATTCCTTAACAAGTAGTTCAGGTGTATTAGTAAGCAAATCATCCATAAGATTAGCGAATTGTTTATTTGTTCTTCGTGCAATCGCATCGGGCAGGGACTGTTATATAATGAAATAGAAAAGTTGGTTATTGCACTAATCGACTTATGCCAATCAAAAGAAGGGAAAATAAAAAAGATTTCGGCTAGAGAACCAATGAAAACCGGTGAGTACTGGACAACTGTGTCCATCCGAATTTCGGATTCCTTAGCAGTACGCACCTATAACCGCATTAAGGATGGAATCAAGGGTCTCCATATTTATAACAAGGCACACTAGTTGACCAATCAGCTAGTGGGACAGAATCCAACGATCTCATACATTGTAACTTCGTCCAGTGAAGTCGCAGGTGAGTACTATTGAAGAGTCCCAAAATGGGATCAAAAGGCTCCCAGTATTCTTCGCTTTCAGAGGTTCTTCAACAGGCGTTAATTCTTAGTCAAACTTGTAATTAGTCGACTTCCAGTAAACCAACATATAAGAACTGCGACAACTAGATTGAGGACCTCTGAAAAACTAATCGAAGTGATGTACATGGGGAAAAAGCCTTCTGGAAGCTTCAACAGTTTGAAACAGATCCTCCAGCAATAAACAAGATATACATACTTAATATGAAACATATATCGTGCATTGTTTCATATTTAATCTTCCGATCGGATGTTGTTGACGAAGAAAACTTCTGCAGTTTCTCTTTAGGTTGGTCCACCGGAAAATGAGCCTGAAAACCTGCCTAGCATTCTGCTGTATTCTTTTTTTAATCTTTAATATAAACTCGAAACTATATCCAACTTTGCATTCAAGTATATAATATGAGAGAGTCGGCTTTTTAGTATTCCGTAGCAGCATTTAGTGTACCTTGTGCTGTATGCAGATAGCCTTGCAGATTTCTGATTAATACATAAACTGTAACTCTGCAAAATACAGTAGATTCACTGTATCCTACATTTCTAACGAATCAGTTACTATTACTGCTAAGGTATTTTAACATATTAAGTAGTTTTCATTACATTCCTTTGTAGATTCTAAAGAAATTGAAGAAATAGGTATCGTAGGTAATGCAAATGGGTGCTTAAGAATAAGTGGGCTGCATTCATTAACTTCATGTCGATCAACATTGAAACCTTCATTGAAAACTCTGTACAATGAGTAAGTATATGTCAGTGAATTTTATCAAAGTGTCTATACTTCAAACAAGAGGATGTTTTTTCTAATAACACTACTAAAAATATTACCGTGAGTCATGTGAATTTATTGAAGTGTTCTTTGTCTTACTTTGTAAAACGTCTCGTTATGTCACAGCTTGACTTTAAAAACACCTACAATTATGTTTGCCTCCTTTCACAATAGAATGAGTCAGGCAAATATATCACGTACAATAATGTGCTGAAGGATAAAACAGTTCGCCTAACTCCTGTTTTTCCTACTCACGCTGACTCAAATTAATCAAGTTATATGTAGTGTAATGTAATGCGATGATACGTTCAAATTAAAAAACAACAACAGAAGATTCGCCTACCTTTCTGTATATCGATTGATAAGTTTTCTTGATCTGTTGACGTTCAAGATTAGTTCGAGCAGTCAAAATACTCAACAAGGTTCCAGTGACGTCGCCTAAAGAAACAGAATAAGGATGAAATGCCATTATTCCAAAATCTGAGACCTAACATTCGCTTTCAGGCTAATTGGCGAAATGCCTTTAAGGCGAATAACTCAAGGCAGCACAATCTAAATTGTGTTCTCTGTGTGTTGGGTACCTTCATTGACCTCCTAAACTACACTTTCAGTAATAACATGAAAATGCAGTCAGTTTTGAAATAATAGAGAAGATTTGTAGCTCAGGTGGATGATTTGCAATTCATAGTGTTCTCTGAGCTGGTTGGTTTAGTTGTGGAGCTTTCGTCGTCCTTCTGGAAAAGACATGATGTGTACTCTTTCATATCAATGCATATAGATAATTATGGACATCAGCTTCATTAGGATAATGTCGAAATTTTAGACAGAGGAAACTACCAAAAGTGCAGTCAGGGAATTCCTAGAAGCCTGGTACTCAAACGAAATGCAATTAACAAACACGTTAGTATAGATCAAATATACCAACTAATAAAAGGTAAATCATGTGACCAGAAAGTTTAGAATCCAAGTCAATAGAAAATGATCAATACACATGTGTAGCGATGGTTACCGTGAGATGCAATTCTACCACTCATGCTAAATATTGCGCTGAAGGGGGATGTTATCCAGAAGGACGACGAAAGCACCGCAACTAAACCAACCAGCTCAACGAACACTATTAATTGCAGTCAGTCTTCATAATATTCCATGAATACCACAAGTGTTGTTGTTGTTGATGACCTTAACATGTTTTGGTTGGCTTCAGCAATCTTTGCAAAAGAAATCATACACTACTGACTGACTGAGATCAGTAGTTGAACACCACTCATGTCAGATCGAGGTAATCCAAATACCGTAGGGCTGTTTCTCTCGTTTAAGGTTAGCAAGTAATACTGGTTGATATGAGTAGTATAGAACTACCCATCTCAATTAATCAGTAGTATATGCTTTCATGTAAACACGCCTGGTTTCTTAATTACCATTTATCGTGTCAAGCAGATCATATACTACTGTGATGTGAATAACTTGGTTTCCAAGGGAAACTATGGTGAAACTTCACCACACAAACTGTGAAGATAGCAAATTGCTAACCGATTTACAGATTGTGAGTTTGATTCATATATCGTGGAAAACACCCATATGGACATTAGAAAGAAGAGAACACGAAGTTCAGCAAAGATATCTGCCTTTTCGGCGATTTCATTTTCAAAAGTTGTACAATCGCATTTAAATACATAATTTTACATGGATACAATTCTTGTTTGATTCTACATAATTACGACGGCGATTCATATATCTTTCTTGTCCTTCTGCACATTTGCCTTCGGCGGTTTCCTTTCATTGGCACAGTGGTTGATATTCTGCTATTGATATTAGTTACTTGGAGGCAAACGGCAGTAAGCTTTGGACCTAGGTTTCATGCTAGTTGGCACTCGTTAGCCAGACTAGAGACATTACACTAATTACTAAATGGTATTCAATGTAATTATTTTGCCGTTAATTTGTTCTTGATGATTATGATTATTGTTTCCTTGAATTCCTAGAGGAACATAGGGTTTCAGTCACACATCTCCATTGCGTTCGGTCCTCTGACAACGTTTTCAGCTGGATCCATGTCTGCCCAAATGCTTTCATCTCCTCTTCACATTACCACCTCCTCCATGTCACCGTTGCACTGACGACCGACTCACCGCCATCTGATGTTGAGTAGGATTGAGCGAAGACAGTTGTTGATGAAGGTGTGTAGTTTTTTCGAAGTACCTTTTCGTGACGTGCCAAGTCGTCGATACGTATAGTAAAATTTGTTCTTTAGTGATATATATAAATATATATGAAGAAATCAGTTACCCGGCTGTTATCAGTATCATCGCCTTGTCTTAAGTGGGTTTTTCGAAAACTATCGATTGTGTGCACAATTCTGTCGTGTACGGCCATCATTTTCGGTTCTTGGAAACACTTACCAGCGTGATCAAATAATGGTGTAATGAAAATTATCAACAGTTCAATGTTAAAACACCTTGCCCAAACAGGCCACAAAGCTAGAACTGAAGAAGGCTTTCCTAACATCTCTATGGTACCAAATAAATTTTCAAAATCCTCTAGTTACGGAATACCCGGAAAACCACAGGTCATTGCAACTTGCTTAAATCAATCAGAGCTCTGTATGCAAAAGAAACAGATCTAGTCACTATTAATACTCTGGTTGAATGTAGAAACTATGTAACAACAGAAGACAAGGGCCAGGCAACAGATCAGTTTTATTACGAAAACCAACAGGTATTTATATGTATTTTACGTACATTAATAAGGCTCTGCCCGCAGAAAGAAGGCGGTCTTCTGATTGGTTGATTGCAAACGAAACGCAGTCTTCTGCTTTCTCGTTTTCGATATTTCTCGGAAATGCGAGCCACTTGTCTGCGAATCATATTTGTCCACGTCTAGGTCAGCTGTGATCGGTTGTTGAATCAGCCTAGATTAATTTCTACCAATCAGCGTAGATCAATGTCTACCAATCGGCTAGCAGCTTGCTCTCACCACAACTATACACATATCGCACCTTTTAGGTATGAATTTCCTTCCTGTATGTATAAATTCTCCTACCCGTTATTGTTGCACTTGTATAAACAATTAGTTGTGTTCTCTCAGCTGAGCTGGTTAATTTAATTGTGGAGCTTTCATCGTCCTTCTGGATAACATCTTTAGCACAAGTTTTAGCATAAAATGAACCGTTATATATGTCCATGAATAAAATGAACTGATTTAAATTCTCCATGAATGATAGAATTGTGTCTCCTGGCCACGATCTTCGTGACCATTCATTTTCTTATTTAAGCTTAATAATCTACTTACACACTGACACACGTACACCCATGTAACGCTCCACCCTAGTTTCTCTCCCCGTTTTTGATCTTACTATTCATCTATATAAAGTTTATATAAAAGAAGTGAGAAGTGGTGACCAGTGATGTCCATCCAGTGAAGTGTGAGGATGGATGTCCCACTGATGACATTAGTTGGTGGTCGCGCTAAATCAAGAATTGGGCCATTGAATTGGGTCCCAGTGGCTGAATGGTATACGAGCCAGCTTGCCTTGTAACCGGAAGGTCCTGGGCTCGAACCTTGGCGACGGGTGTGTATCACCGATGATTCCCAAACTAGGTGGATGGTCCAGTACTCCGGTGCCAGTTTTCAATGATTCTCTAATTGATATCAATCCGTGATCAATTCGTAAAAAATAGCGTTTATAGGCAATATGTGAGTGGAATTCAATATGAACATTAGTCATGAGCATTCATTAGTATATGTATTCGTTGTTATACATGATCGTATACTTTGGAAAACTGATGTTCATTTTGGTGTTACATTTACGCAAATTATCATAAATGCACAAGTTTTGAACTATCACTAATTTACAATCTATTCTCATATAATTCCTTCGAATCTGAATTCAAGAACAAGAATTAACAGTAAAAAGGAACAATATATATATATATTTTTCATATCAATGCATGTAGATAATTACGGATACTAATTTAGTTGGTATAATATAGAAATTTTAACTAGAGGAAACACCGAAAGTGCCAGAGAATTTCTAGAAGTCTGATACACAAGTGAATCAGCCAGCGATTAACAAACATATTAATACAGATCAAATTTACTGAGCTAATAAGAATTAAATCATGTTGTGGTGAGAGCTGTCTACTAGCCAAATTGGTAGACAGTAATTTACGTCAATATTTACGTTCCCAAGATTTGACGTGAGAAACAACCAATCGGAAGACTGTGTTTGTTTGTTTACGCGTCCATAGTAATGTACATGAAAACATATATAAAAATGCGTTGATTTCCTTAATAAATGATCTGTTGCCTGGCCCTTGTCTTCTGTTCTTATAATGTGACAAGAAAATTCAAATTACAAGTCAATATAAAAATGATCAGTAGAGATCTAAATCAACTACCAGTTACAAAGATGGTTGCCAGGAGACACAATTATATCATCATTCAAGGAGAATTTAAATGATTTCAGTTTTACACTAAAACTTGCATTGAAGATGTTGTCCAAGAGGATGATGAAAGCTTTGCAATTAAATCAACCAGATCAGAGAAAAAACAACTAATTCAAAATCACCCACCCGAGCTACAAATCTTCTCCATTACTAATCAGCATTTTTATAATACTTCATTTCAACTTACGCTGATCGGTGGTATCAGGAAATCGACTAGAAGCCGTATATCGTTGTTTCGAATTTGTTAGGACTCTTCAGGAATATGAAGTCATATATCATCAGTAGAGTTGGTGGTTTTTTGTGTACAAAGTCATGCGGTGAATGTGGAAGGTAGTCATCTCAGAAGCTCATGCTCATTATAGTTGAACTAAGTTTACTAATGACTCAAAATGAAAATGTCTATTATTATTACTACCATGTCTTACACCATTTAGAAATTTGTTATGAGAACAACTACAACCTTGTCACATTTGTTTTCGTCACGTGATTATCTTATTATTACTTCCTTGAGTTCTAAATGGAACATAGGACGTCAACGCCAAATCTCCATTCCATCCTCCTCTCTGCAGTCCTATTCAGCTGGCTGCACAATCGCCCATAACCTTTCATGTCCATCTCAAACGATCACCTCCGTATCACACTACTCAGACTCACTACCAATTCGCCATTCCCCATACAGGATCCATCCATTCAACGTCTTGGACCGCAGCGATAGTCGGTATTCTCCTCGGCATATGTCCGATTCATCTCCATCACCTCTGTCTTCTCTGTGTGTTCACATAGCAGTCATCATTAATTGAAATCTTCGTCCTAAGACAGAACTCATACGCCGACACATTTTATTCTCATATAAAACTAAACTTCATACGTATATATACATATATATGATCTTAGTGAAAAAAGACTTACGATTGGAATTTATTGCCTTTCCAAGGATTATTGCATCCCTGTGTGCAGAAAATTGATCAGTAGCGTGAATAGTTGATTCATATCGTTTTCCTAACCAGTCGACATGGTGAAAAGGTGAGCGTACAAACGGAAAACTGAAATGGAAGACAATCAATCAGTGTATTCATTTATAGACGTAGAACACAGATTTCATGTACCAAGGCTACGAGAGACCTGCTAATCAATTGAGGCCAAGTGATACTAACCAGGTAAAATAAATGAAGCGGGATCAATATACGTGAACCATTGACTGAAACCCAAGGTCTTAGGCTGATGAGCTAACTGAGCATATCAGTGTATTCAGAGTAATCAATCCAGAAAAGTATTTTATAATTAATCTTTTGTACACTAGCGAATGGCTCTTCACAGAAAGTTACCTAGAGTCGTAACCACCGGGGACCACCAAGTCATGCAAAAGGACAGTTCCCCACCTGTGACATTGGCTGGCGATCGCACTAATTACATATATCACGAATTGTCAGAAGTTGGAATTCATGGGCCACCAAATCGGATCCTGGCAGCTGGATGGTCTACAAAAACTCGCCTTGTGACTGAAAAGCCCTGCGTTTGAACTCCAGTGGGCACGTCCTGATGAAGAGTCTCAAACTAGTCTGACGAAACAGCTGTCCATTACTCCCAGGTTTTCCAAGGGTTCTCTAACTGATGTCAGCTAGTGATAAATCCTGTGGCCAATCAAATCCCTGTAAACCGACACTTAATAACTTAAAAGTATGCATTTATTCGAAAGGAATTTATGCAATGGATCAGATAATCAATAATATGAAGCAATCAATGTCTTATTGATACAAGATGGTGGATAACAGCTATGCGCTTGTTGAAGCTTCAGTAAAATCCACTAGATGTGTAAAATTTCTACAGGTAGCAGAAATTTTCACATATTTTGGCAGAGAGCAGACACAGTAGCAGTGATCCACAGATGCCCTAAATCTGTGGCAAATTCTACTACGTATACGATAAATAGGAGAGAAGAACCAGAAATTCGGGGGTGATTTGAACTGATTCGCTCCTCTGAGATGAGTGGGACTGTAGTCGAACCAGTGAAGTAGCTGTCCGGTGTTCAGATTAATTCTATGTGGCTGACCAACAAGCACTAGTGGTCGATGTAGTACATAGTTTTCTGCATTTATATCCGCTTTCTTCATTCCCCCTTATGGTATCAAACAAATCACATATTGTGATCTAAAAAATAGTTTTGGTCTCCGATTATAGCTATTTTAAAAGCATCTTAACTAACCAACAGATTATATCAAACAAAAGAAAATTAGGTGAACTTCCTCACAGCGTATCATCCGATATCTTTTTGATTACAGCTTGATTCCACACCGTTTTGTTTTGGTACAAGTATGGAATTTTCAGCATGTGATATCGGTAGCCCAAATTTTGCAGGCCGACCATAGATATCGGGTATGCGTCGGTAGGGGATCGAACCCCGGACCATGTGCATGGTTGGCGAGAGTCCTAACCACTGTGCCGCCGACGCACAAATATTTTGGTACTGATGTAAATAGATATTTAACGAAGAAATGGCTACTCATTAGCTGTCTTCTAGAATTTGTTCAGAAAAAATTTTAGATCTACTTAAAGATTAGATAAATGTCAACATGTGAAATTTGGTGTGTCATGCCTTATATGATTAATTCTGTGATCACGTAAATAGTTCAAGGCAGTTAATAGAAAACTGATATCTAAGTATTGTTTTCTGGGGATTTGACTGATTGGTTACAGGACTTCAACATGAGCTGACATCAGTTAGAGAACCATTGGAAAACCAGTCAGGGAGTACTGGACAGCTGTTTCGTCAGACTAGTTTGATACTCTTCACCAGTACGTACCCACCGCCAGGGTTCGAACCCAGGACATTTCGGTTACAAGGCTAGCGAGCTCGCAGACCATTAAACCACTGAGACCCAATCAAGTGACCAGTCCGTGAATTCTGATGAAGAGTCCCAAACTAGGCTAACGGTACGGCTGTTCAGTACTCCCAGCTGGTTTTCCATTGGTTCTCTAACAGATGTCAGCTCATGATGAAATTAGGTAAAGGAAACTGATAGTTTATAAATTTATATTTGTAAAATCTCAGTGAAATTGAAATGATTAATTCCAACGTTTCGTTCGGCAATCTGGTCCGAACTACTTCAGGGAAATTAATCGAATTAAAATAACAGAGGTTTATATAAAAAAGGAACAACTCATATTTTAAATTGTTTGTCCAGTCATGTGAATCAAGAAACAGCTATCAATAGCTATAATAAAGGCTGTATATGTAGGAGAAACTTCCAGACAGGTAAATGTAAGGGTGAAAGAGCATAAACAATGTCTAAAGGTGGTTCCAAAGACCTCTGCAGACTTGAAGAAGTTAGAAAACAACTCAGCAATTCTACTACATTCGATAGAAACGGGACACAAACTCGACTTTGCTAAGACTAAGGTTTTACAGAAAGGTTTTGGTTCATATAAAGATAGACTGACTGCAGAAGCCCTACATATATGGGTGAATCCCAACAGTTTGAACAGACGTGAAGGTGTGATCTTAGCTGATGCATGGGAAATCCTGACTAATAAATAAATTGGATATGTATTAACAACTATTCACACTTGATCAAATTCCCGATTGTCTACGTCTTCTTATGGAGAGAATATCAAATTTATAAAATTATATTACATTTGTAAAAAGCATCTCAATTATTTTGTAACTATCCGGTCAAATCTTGATCACAGCTAATATGAGAATAAGAAATGTTTTATGACTGTTCACCCACACACACATAAACACACACCATTGTATACTGCATATACACATATATTTTAACAAAAGTAGACTAATTTTGAAAGTCTGAGGTCAAATTTTGATCACAGTTCATATACAAATTTTTGTTTTGTTTTGTTTACTATACCTATTGACAGCTGTTTCTTGATTCACATGACTGGACAAACAATTTAAAATATGAGTTGTTCCTTTTTTATATAACCCTCTGTTATTTTAATTCGATAAATTTCCCTGAAGAAGTTCGGACCAGATTGCCGAACGAAACGTTGGAATTAATCATTTCAATTTCACTGAGATTTTACAAATATAAATTTATAAACTATATAAACTACTTAACCATAGTATTAAATTACTGACACATAACACATCTCCACTTGATACCTACATATCCCTATACTTAGCATCTTTGAAAAGTGAATGTAAGGTTTAGGGGAATCATAAATCTAGTGAATATATCCATGATTTCGTTGCAATGAGCTAATAACAACGTGAGTACAGACTTAGGTTCTGTTTTTTTGTCTTACAACCGGTGAGCACTTATGTAGACGATGACTTTCTGGTATCAACTTTTGTCTTCATCTTCTTAGAAACATCCACTTTCGTCAGACTCTTTTAAAAACAGTAAGTATGCGAGAGACATATATCAACTTTGATATTACACAGTTATGAATAGTCCCAGCTACGGAGTACAACATAATTAATTTATTAATTTTATTTTTTATTTATTTTTTTATGGTAGATTGACTGCACACAGTATTTTCGATACAAGTATGGAATTTTCAGCAGGTGATATCGGCAGCCCAAATTTAGCAGGTCGACCATTTGTATCAGGTGTGCGTCGGCCGGGGATCGAACCTCGGACCATGTGCATGGTCGGTTAGCGTCCTAGCCGCTATGCCACCGACGTACAACAATATAGTATTCAATATTAATTTTACATATGTCCAAACCAACTTCACTTTTAACAGTTTGAAATAAATTTGGGCACTGGGTATATGATATTCATTATAATAAAGGTTTTTCTTTATTTCCCAATGAATGCAGAACAAAACGAGTGTGTTTTTAACACAAGCAACAAAGGTCAATAAAGCGGGATTTAATGAATTCATCAAATTTCGGTAGAACTCGTCAGCTGAATACTCTACATACACGGATATAAACTTTTGAAATTACTTTGGGAGATATAAGACTGATAAGTAAACAAACTACATTGAATTAGTAATGCAGAAAGACAGGTGCGAATGTTTTTCCAGGTCATGTTCAATTAGATAAGGGGAGAGAGAGTATGGGAGATCAAAATTAAGATAAAATGCGTTACGCTTGAATTACATCACTTGGATAAACAATTAGTCACTAGAGAATATATCAACAATTGCAAACAGAGTGATATCAATACCTATAGATATATAATAATTAACCTTTGTTGCTTGTTTTAAATTCGTATTGGGAAATAAATGCTTTCGATATCCTTTTTACTGGCGTTTCTCTGTTTAATGCTAATAGATTTATAAAAGTATTATTAAACCAGAATTTACAAGATCCCAGCTTGTATATAATAACTTAATCATAGAAGAAGAAATATCAAGCATTACTGAAACTCTCAAGCAAAATAACAACTACCCAAGGAACTTCATCAACAAAATCAACACTGACAATAATTATGGTCGGAAACGTATTCCGAAAACATGGACCTCAACAGTCGTCATTCTATATAGAGCAGAGACGATATTAGAATTCTCTTCGAAACATCAGGAACACTGCAAAACAACCTTGTCCATATGAAAGACCAAATCCCAAAATATTCTCTATCTAATTCTGTCTATAAAGTGAAATGCTTGGAATGTGATGCGATATACATCGGACAAACGTCTCGAGAAATCAAGATCAGAAGAAATGAACACCGTAGAGTGTCTGTTCAACCACCGAGAAATGCAGTTGAAATCATCAGCCAGCCATACGTCTACACACTATAGAATCAGGCCACAAAATTGATTTTGACAATATGGAAATAATCCAGAAAAACTTCAGAAATCACCAAGAACATCTAATATCAGAAGCACTTCATATCAAATGGAATCCAAATTGTCTGAACTGAATAGGAATGATGGACTAAAACAGAATCTGACCTGGATATAACACCTCCCTACCCATGAAGTGACAAAATCAACACGAATGTGATAAGCAAGTTCACTATGTAAACACACACTACTTTTATAATGTTACACACTGATCAAATCCAACAATATACACTTGATTTTGTTATCTTTACAAATTGACCAACTTGACAACGAAAAATGATCCCAGACTGATGAACGATGATCAAGTTAGTAAACTATATTTTGATATCATACCAGACATACTATTTGGTTTAGTGATCTTCATTGTTATTTTAACTTTCAATATGTCCCTTTAACTTGACCTAACTTGTCTATTTTCTCACCTCTTAACTCTTTGTTATATACAAATGCTGAGATTTTTGTAAATTCCGGTTTAATAATACTTTGATAAAGCTATTAGCAGCAGCATTAAATAGTGAAACGTCAGTAAACACAACAAAATCGTTTTGTTTTTCATTCGTTGGAAAATAGTAAAATTATATTCACTATTGATTATTTAAATAATTTATCAGAAACGTATTTTATGAGAAGACAAAGTCGAAAACTAAATGACTTACTTGTCTGTTTCTGCTTCTTCTTCTGCCTGTAAAAGTAAGTATTTGATACAAATGGCATTAAAGACAACTGTGACAGTACAAATAAGTCATCATAGAAAGAATCAACATCAACAGCTGAATTGAAAATTCAAGAAATATTTACCTATTCAGTGAAGAAAATTATATAAACGTTCCTGTTCCATAGGATTTTAGTACAACTAAAATGTCAGAGATTCTTGATATTAAATGGTTGGAAGCAATCGTTAGGAGGAAGCCTTGAACCTAGACTTGGTTTCATGCTAGTTGGCACTCACCAGTCATCAAGGAGTATCTGCAATCTTGACGGAACTCAAGTCCTTTCTGAGATTCGAACCCGTGTCACCCAGTGAGCGCTGCAGTGAGAGACGTTACCACAGAACTATTCAAGCTCGCGACTGACTTCCTGTAGGACACTAGTCAGTAACTAATGTGATGTGTCTAGTCTTATCTTTGGTGTAAACTAGCAGGAAACCTAGTCTAGGTCCAAGGCTTCCTCCTGACGATTGTCCCCAACCATCTAATACCAACAATTCAAAATGCACCATGATGGTGAGCCACCTAGTAGTATGGTGGCCACATTGCAAGCTTGACTGATAGAATTCAGTCTGCACCAAACATAGGACTAGACACATACCACTAGTTACTGACGAATGACCAATCAGAAATGTCAGAAATTCATTTTACCTATCACTACCTTTCATTTATATTCATGATTTCTCTGCAGAAACATATAATTTCTGCTTCACTGCTGATCTTCAAATCTGCATACTTCTTAAATTGGTAACTAGAATAACCTTCAGTATTAGGAAGCATACAAGGCTTCACAATTAGACACATGGTTTTACTGTGATGTGAGTTATAAAAAAGAGTATGAGATAAGAAAAACTTGTGAAAACCGAACAGAAGTGAGCAAGTGTTCTGTATTAACTTGGTAAAACCGTCAGAATTGTACGCTTCATACGAGCCACACCACAGGAGAAGGTCGGTGTAGATGATTAATCAAGCTAAATTTATGCAACTTTACAATACCTCGTAATGAATAGAACTTAGGGACAAATAAACCAACCAACCAACCAACAAACTTTCTGTGTGACTAAACGCTAAAATTCAGTTCTTCTCCCAAAGTAATAGACCAAATTTTCAAACATATTCTATTCATATTAGTAAATTCTTACGGAAACACAAATGAAAGTGCCTATGTTAAGTTTTCAGGGATTGGCAGGAATGTCCAGGGTTGAAAAAGATTAATGGTATAATGAACGTGATGTCGACGTTTTGTTAGAACATTTGTTTGTCTCAGTGACAGTAACTATGACGACACACAATCAATGAATTGCTATTCACTGTTTTTAAGTAGAAACTGAAGGACATCCTCTTAAATGAAGTACATTAGAAACCACGTAACAAACTAAGAAGTCAGCTGCAGCATCCAGGAGATGAGAAAAACACTTACATCTTATCTAGTCAATTTATTTACAATTTAAAAATTAAATCTTGTTGAGTCTGGCGTTTTGTATCATTACGTGACCATTATTTAAGCACAGCAGTATATAAAAAAAGAGTCATTCAATCTTCAATAGGCTTCCCATGGTCTACCTACATTTTGTAGATACTTAAATGTCAACAGTTGCTTAACTTTTCAACACAAAAGGTTTATTTGGCGAGTAGTCGTGACGACGAATAGAATAGCTTTCTTAATCTCTTGACAGACAAACCTTCTGCATTAATCTGAAACCAGAATGGAAATCTAATGTAATCAGCATTTGAATAAGGCATTAAGAAGACAAATTTCGCGAGCTAATGGTTATCCGGAAAACTTTATCACTTGTCACAATAAAGAAAGACCACATCTCGAAAAGATAGCTTCTGTACCAAAGAAAGCTATCTTCATTAACCTACCATTCAAGCGTGACCAGATTATGCAGTTGACAGCTAGCTCAAAGACTTTGGTCAGCCATCAAACGCACATTCTACGCCACCGCATCTCTTTTTCTCACTTGCTGAACATTTTCGATCCCTGTACCTACGATTAAAGGACGAAATTCTGTAGACTCTACTTCAAACTGTATCTACAAGTTCACCCGCAGTTGCGGCGATACCTGTGTGGGTAGAACCAACAGAATGCTCCAATGTCGTCGAAAGGAACATGTTCCAAAATGGCTACTAAATCATATAGAAAATCCCAACGTGATTATTCTTAATAGAAATCCAGCATCATCCATTGCAAAACACTTATTAATGTCAGGTCACAAAATCAATATTGTCAGTGACTGTTTCACAATTATTTCACATAACTCTAATTCAAGGTTGGTTATTGAAGGTGATGGGAGCACTTCGGGTTAATCACATACAGCTTAAACTGTGTGTACAAAAATCAACAGACTTAGACTTCAATCTTCGCCTACCCTGGACTACATGACCTATCTAAATATGATTGGTCATTAGTATGTACTTTTGTGTTTTTTATTTAACTGAGTAATTGTCATGATCTTTATTTTATTATTGTTAACCATGTTAGTTGTAAAGCGGTTGTAAAGAAACTACGAAATGACGGTATCATCTCGCGAAATTTGTCTTCTAAATGCCTTATTCAAATTTATCAAAGGGACTAATTGTTGTAATCAGTATTAAAAAAAAACAAGATTCGGATTTTCAGAAGAAATGTCACTTCAGTGCATCTATATGGATTCAGAATCTCTGCCTCATTAGTAAAGATCAGATGGTCGACCCGCCGGCCGGGAAGGATGAACAATCAGGAACTCTGAGCACGAGCAAACCCAGAATCTATCACCTAACAAATATGCTCTCGGAAGTTGAGATGAACTGGACATACGCTCAGGAAACCATTGAATGACATTTGGAAAATGGCCTTCGAGTGGAACAATAGGGTGACCCGGGGGAGATGAGATCTTATGGCTAATCATGAAGCCATCCATCTAAAGAGGACTTCGGAGTACAGGATGAAATGGAGTTATGCTGCTGAAGTCTTAATTTCCGCTCAGAATCTAATGGGAACAATAATAATAATTGTCTCGTGGTCAAGTTTTGAATGAGTCTGCCGACTTGCTGCATCTCTCACTCTTATTAAGTATAGCTATAATTGAACGCAGAAGATCTCATCATAGGCAGCTATTATGATGATAAGCAAACACACTGACGTGACATTTGGGCATTATCTGTGATGATTACGGTGAAATGATGACCTGGTCTTGTAGCTCAAATGCTTTGGCTCCATCCTTATAATCCAGAGGTCATTGATTCGAAGTCTACCTTGACGCACATCTTCATTTCACCTTCAATCATCAACCAAACGGTCTAACAACCAAGGAGAATCTCAAACAGTCCTACTGTCAAACTACGGAGACACTCTATATGTGTCCTGTCATAAGCAAATGCTTCATTAGAATACTGAAAGAAACCAATAATTACCCTTTTCTGACTGCTAACGATAATTTAAAAGTGAACAAAATGTACAAAGTACTAGAAAAATTATCATATCATATAAAGAACCTAGAAGACCTAGATTTCGCGGATGATTTATGTTTGATGTCACACAAAATTGAAGACTTAGAAGCGAAAACCGACAAACAGGTCGAAGAAGCAGCAAGGACAGGACTCCAGGTGAACATAGACAAGACGGAGGTTATGAAAATAACCAACCAACAACAACAACAACAGCAACATCCAGCACCAATCACCATCAACGGGAGGGATTTGAAAGAGGTTACTTCATTCACTTATCTAGGGAGCATTGTCTCAACTACACGAGGAACGGAAGACGATGTCAAATCGAGAATCGGGAAGGCGAGAAACACATTCATCAACCTGAAACCAATCTGGAAATCTTCGTCACTCAGCCTGCATCAATAACAAAATTCGGATTTTCAATACGAACGTCAAGTCAGTCAGTTCTTCTATACGGATCAGAAACTTGGCGGTTCACAAAGAATATTTCCAATAGCCTGTTGGAGACCTTTATCAACAACTGTCTTCGCTATATACTGAAGATTAGATGGTCGGAAAGAATCACCAACAAGAAACTATGGGAACAAACAAAACAAGAACCAATCGCTCAACAAATATGCAGGAGAAAGTGGAGATGGATTGGACACTCGCTGAGGAGGCTGCTGGGTGACATCGCGCGTCAGGCCATAGCTCGAGTGGAACCCGAAAGGGAAGTGGCGAGTGGGATGTCCAAGGGTGACATGGCGGAGATCGTGTGAAGGGGAGTTGAAACAGTATGGACTAACAGGGATGCAGGTGAAAAGTACAGCAGAAGACAGAAGTAAGTGGAGACGTGCAGTTGAAGTCACATGTTCCACTAGGAACCCAAGGGAACAATAATAATAATAAAGAAAACACATAAAGATATTATTGTTATGTTACCTTGACTAGATGTAAAGAGACCAGCAGAAGTACAAACTGGATCAGTATCATTTTACATTCCATGGTGGTAATTTCAGTCTTATTTTTCACTTATTTATGTGACTATACATATGCTATATATACATATTCATCCGAAAAAAATAGGAAGTAATTTAGAGTACTAACCAGTAAGTAATACAGTTGTTCATAAATGTACAAATTAAGTGTTGCGAAACAGACCAATCACCGGAATTGCGTCAATTGTTCCAATGTGTCTACACACACACATAGACACTTTTACTAATCTCTCAATAATAGTCTAATTATACTTGAATAATTATATACATATAAATGTAAATAATAAACAAACGGCTTACTAAAGATCTTATGACACATCAAGTTTGATGACATAACACATAACATAAGGTGGGTGGGTGAATGAGTGGGTGTAGTGTAGTGTACCATTAAGACTTTTTCATACGTAACATATTTCTTAGCAGTCTACATCATATAGAGAGAGTTTCTGTATTCATACAATACACGAAAGTCATTCAATGCCTACCTCACATTTTTATATATGAACATCGAAATTTCTGAAATGAAAGTATATCATGAATTAAAAGTCAATCTGAACGAAGAACATTCTTTTCAGTAATAATTTCTCTTCAGGTTCTCACCAAGAGTGCTCCTTCCCCTTAACCCTCTTGGTTTTTTTCCTTTGCTTATTATTACAAATATTATTATTACAATTATTATTATTATTCGTCATAATTTATGCCCTTCATGCAAACATTCTCTCAATACTATCGAATTTTTCATTTATACTATCCGGACTTATTATTAGTGATATAATCTCTTTTCTCAATATATGCCTCCACCTGTTTCACTTCCCATATTCGTTATTCCCTTTTGAACCTCTCATTGCAGTCTTACTATCTCCTGTTTAACACAGACCACTTTGCTGCACTAGCCACTGACTCACCTGACACCTTTTATAACCTTGAACTGACTTGTCAATTTTCCAACCCCACACTCTACAAATCTATTATGATTAATCACCACCATCGTCTCCCATTTCACGATATTTTGTAATCGATTTCAGCCTAGCACGACATTTGTCACACAAATACGACTGTTTATTTTGACAACCCATAGCTAATCTGTTATTCTACGTTAAAACTGTATGCGCTGCAAAACTGGCCTTTATTGTAACGACAACAAATATTATATTTTCTAATTGTAAGAACCTGAAGAGGAGAAATTATTGAAAAGAATATTCTTCGTTCAGATTGACTTTTAATTCATAATATGGGAATATTCCACACTATCAAATCTTATGAAGGTAAAGCTATGGAAATTTCGCTCAAACTGTATTGTCTACCTCAGTCATTGAGATCATGAACAGTGAAAATGTAGGCTCATTCGATGTCAGTGTACCACAAGCATTCAGAAATATGGACCTATAAAAGTTCAGATAGAGGAGAAGACAATGTGATAAAATTAATTAGTCATTTCATTATAGATAGACGGCACTGAAATAGAAACTAAATCGGAAATTAAATACCTAGGTGTCATTCTATTCGCTGATCTCTCCTGGTCGTCTCATATCTTAGCAATTTCTAAGAAAATATTCCGTCTTACCTTCTACATTAAGAAGTTAAAACATTCTGGTATTACCCAACCCTAACTTCTACAATTCGTTAATTCTCGCATCCTGCCTATTATTCTCTATTGTTCCCCCTTAGTTTTTCCTGGGCTACTGAAGAAAGACTATAACATATTACGCAGGATGTTAAAGGTTGTCAGCAGGGTAAGCAACGTGCCACTTAACCAGCTTGTTAATATTCTGGTTGACAGGCACATGGACTCATGTGAAAAATGGGCCAAGTCCATTTTATCTAACTCACACCACCCTCTTCACTCACAACTCTCCCCTTGCATCTCATCAGGTAAAACCAGAAGCCAATATAGAAAACTATATGCTCGCACCAGCAAGTACAAAAACTCAACCATACCCTACTTAGCTCGTGTTCTGTGTGATAAAGAAAGCATTAGGCGTGACACCTATAATTCATTAAATAGTCAGTAGTACAACTGGATCTCGTCTTTCCAACCCACATCATCAATAGGTACAACATTTTCTTTCTTTCTTTTCCTTTTCTCTCTCTTCTTTTTCCGTTATGTGCTGCTTTGTCTCTTTCTCTCGTTTACGTCAGTTAATAGGACAGCTCCCCCTTTTCTAACACCTTCAAACACTGTTTCAGCTTTACCTTTGCTACTGACATGCCAATGTATTGTTGTAATAATGAACTGTGGTTTCCTCAATCTATGTAGAATTCTATTTATTGATAATGTACTAACTGGATGCAATACTGTAGTAAAAATGCTGAGAATTCCATTGTGTATCACAAGTACTGTTTTGGAATAAAGCAAATTATTATTATTTTATTTTGATAAATTGTCACACAGTGGTGTTATACAGTGATATTAACTGATGACCATGTTTGGAGCACAATTTATTGCTGCTCGTAATCATATCAAGGTACTTTTATATACATGAGTAAAAGTTGACTAGAAATTTGAATAGAAATCTATATGTGATAATGTACATTCACCCAACATATGCAACAGAAATGACTCAATACAAATACCAGAGATATGGAATATATTATTGCCACAAGTCAAATCAGAAGAGGATAATAAATAATCTTAAAATTCTATTTTAATTCAAGCACATCACAACATTCTAACAAGTTACTTATTATGACTATGAAAACACTCGTCTTATTTCCCATCTGATATGATTACGAGCAGCAATAATTTGTGCTCGAAACATGGTCATCAGTTAATATTACTGAATAACACTACACTGTGTGATTTATCAAAATAAAATCTTATCCATAATGCAGTTATACTCTACCACAGTGCCCAAGATTTATACTTATATCATTAATTAGTCATTTGTAAAAGTTATATTTGTGAAATCTCGGCGAAACTGAAATGAGTGATTCCAAAGTTTCCTGTGTTCGGCAATCTGGTCCGAACTTCTTCAGGGAAATTAATCAAAATTAACATAACAGAGGTTTTATATATAAAAGGCACATCTTTTGTTTTTAAAAACTTTATCCAATCATGATTCATAAACACAAGTATTAACAAGTATAATAAACAAAATTGTATGAGCTGTGATCAAAATTTGACCTCGGACTTACAAATATTGGTCTTCCTTTGTTAAATACTTTAAACAGAGTGTGCATGCGTGTGTGTGTAAACAGTTGTAAAACATTTCTTAACGTCTCCATAGGAAGATGTAGACAGTCAGGAATTTGACCAAGTATTATTAATTAGTGATACATATCCATTTTTATTTATTAACGGACATGAAGGTTTAATGTTAGCTGATGCATAGGAAATCCTGATTAATAAATAAAAATGGATATGTATCACTAATTAATAATACTTGAATAAGGCATTAAGAAGACAAATTTCGCGAGATGATACCGTCATTTCGTAGTTTCTTTACAACCGCTTTACAACTAGCATGGTTAACAATAATAAAATAAAGTTCATGACAATTATAAAATTATATTTGTAAAATCTCAGCGAAATTGAAATGATTAATTCCAACGTTTCGTTCGGCAATCTGGTCCGAACTTCTTCAGGGAAATTAATCGAATCAGCGCTCAATTATTTTGCAACTATCCGGTCAAATCTTGATCACAGTTCATATGAATTCATGACAATTACTCAGTTAAATAAAAAACACAAAAGTACATACTAATGACCAATCATATTTAGATAGGTCAAGTAGTCCAGGGTAGGCGAAGATTGAAGTCTATTGTTTTTTGTACACACAGTTTAGGCTGTATGTGATTAACCCGAAGTGCTTCCATCACCTTCAATAACCAACCTTGAATTAGAGTTATGTGAAATAATTGTGAAACAGTCACTGACAATATTGATTTTGTGACCTGACATTAATAAGTGTTTTGCAATGGATGATGCTGGATTTCTATTAAGAATAATCACGTTGGGATTTTCTATATGATTTAGTAGCCATTTTGGAACATGTTCCTTTCGACGACATTGGAGCATTCTGTTGGTTCTACCTATATAGGTGTCACCACAACTGCAGGTGAACTTGTAGATACAGTTTGAAGTAGAGTCTACAGAATTTCGTCCTTTAATCGTAGTTACAGGGATCGAAAATGTTCAGCAAGTGAGAAAAAGAGATGCGGTGGCGTAGAATGTGCGTTTGATGGCTGACCGAAGTCTTTGAGCTAGCTGTCAACTGCATAATCTGGTCACGCTTGAATGGTAGGTTAATGAAGATAGCCTTCTTTGGTACAGAAGCTATCTTTTCGAGATGTGGTCTTTCTTTATTGTGACAAGTGATAAAGTTTTCCGGATAACCATTAGCTAATAAAACTGAATGTATATGTCGAAACTCATCCATCACTGTGTCACTCGTGCATATTTTTCGGGCCCTTGAGTACAAACATTTCACTAGGGAACGTTTATACTGGATAGGGACAAAACTGGTAAAATGAAGATATTGTCCACTCCACGTTTGTTTACGAAAAATAGATCTCTGAATCGTACCATCATCTCTCCTGGTCATTGTAATATCGAGGAAACCGAGTTTGTTATTCGATTCGCGTTCGGAAGTCACTCGGATATTTGGATGAATATGATAAAATAGAGTAATAAAGTTTTCAATAGATTTAATATTATCACCAATAATGAGAGTATCATCTACATAACGTTTATACAGTATAAATTCTCCAAGCATACCTCGCATTTGTCTCTCCAATTTCGACATGAACATATCTGCTAACAGGGGCCCAAGAGGGCTACCCATCGCAACACCATCAATTTGTTTGTATGCCTTTTCTTGAAAGGTGAATCTAATATTTTCTGTACACATTAAGATGATGTCTCTGATGTAAGTTACAGGAATAGGTAACTTTATCCCACTGCTTGTGATGTAATCGCAAATGAAATCAACAGTTTCATTAAGGGGAACATTGGTGAATAAAGATTCTATGTCAATTGAACACATAACTTTATCCTTGATGTTCAAG